TGCAAAATCTTAATTTGCCATCCGCTTTCTTTACGAATAGGATAGGGGACGCGAAGGGGCTGTTGCTGTTGACGATGAATCCCTTTTCAGGTTTTCCAGCAGGTATTGCTTGGTAGCCTTAAGCTCTTCGGTGCCCTGTCGATATAACGGGGGGAAAGCGTTTGGTAAAGGGGCTTCAAGCTTTATCTTGTGGTCGTTCAAATGCTGTTGGGAGACTCGTGGGTTTTGTTATGCGGCGAAGCATGGGAATTACTTCCCAATGACGGCATGAAAGACGACAACTTCTGATCACTGAGGACTAATGCCCTATGCTTTTGTAAGATTTCCATGAGAGGATCAAGAAACATCTTTGATAATACGGAGTCTTGTTTTGCCTCTTGGAGCATTCCGCAAGCACGCATGACTTCAGCCTGTCTTTGTTCTTCATGGCCCTCGATTTTGTTAAAACAGAGGTCCATAACTAGTACAACAGTAGCCATGAAGACATGATGCATAACTGTGGCGAACCTCGCAGGAGCACAACCCAGGTCAGATTTAGTTTTTTCCAGTACACGGTTCACCTCCAAGTCATTGCGTCCAGAGCCCAAACACACGTCTCTAGAAAAGGCGTATTTTGATTCGACGAATCCCCTTATGAGATACGGTTGGTAGAGCTTACAACGTCTATTAAGGACTCCAAGATGGATAAGATAGCACTGTGTAGCTATATGAGGAAACCTATGGTCAGTCCCGTGGCCCATAAGCCTGCTTTCTTCATCGAGGTGGAAGAATATCGGAAATCTCTTAGTTAGATCCTCGAATTGGTCATCTAGGGCAATTATCTTATCATAGTCTACCATGTCGATATCATCCAGAAATCGAGGTATAGAATCCACGATGGTCCGACATATATCGGATAGACGAATGTATTGGAGGAACTAAGACATTGATGTGGGGGTCGACTCTGAGCCATTGGACTGATCACTTTGGGCAACAAGATCCCCACTTACAATCTGTGGGGATCTCACATGCATATGTTCTGGGTGTATTAAGTAGGTGCCCTCTTGTGGACCGCCAGAAAATGCTAATAGCCATTGCTATTCATTAGATACGTTACGAGTAGGGTATTGCACTCACCAGTCCGTCAAAGCAACATACCACCAAATTCTCCTCTTTGTCTCATATTCAGCCATATCTGCTTCTGAATCTGTCTTGTTCCTTCTGTGCGGATGTCTATTCTGTGCAATGACAGATCTCTCACCATCATTATTGTGTTGCTATGTAGTTAACGACAAGTTGCCGAAAATCCATAATTATTACGTATTTCCCAATCGAACTGTGCACCCGGTCGAACCGTGCAAAATAACCACCAAAATACAACTTCGTAGGTATATTATAACAACAACCCTTTAAAACACTCTAGCTATCTACAGTAATTGAATCTAATACCTCTTTGCACGTACTAGCAGTATGTCCAACTTGATTACATGTGCCACATCGTCGTGGTTTCCCTTTCCTGCGCTGACCCTGTGTGGCATCACCACCCTCCTCCTCCTGAGTTTGAGTACTCCGTACGAGCTCATCACCTTCCTCAATTGTCAAGCTTCCACCTAATTGAATACGCTTCCTTCGCTTGTTTGCCCTTCACTTTTTGAGCGCATTCGCCTGCTGTAGCGCCTTGACTTCAGCTTTAAGGAGTGTAAATGAATGGGCCATTATTTGAGCTCCTTTAGCAAGCTGGTCAAATGCCTCATTTATTGAACTTGGAGAGCTATTCTGATGTCGTACGATTCGATTCTTAAGGTGTGTTGTTTGGAATTCAACTTCAGTCGCATTCTGGGGTGTCTTTGAGGTCCAAGTCTCCTTTTCAACAGGTGGTGGGGTTGGTGTTTTTTAGTCGGAGATCAAGATGCGAAAGGACAGTATTTGGATCGTACGGAACTAACCCTATAACTAAGTAGTAGTATTTACTATAAAGATTATTATAATTACCTGTTGCTCGAAAGCCACTCTTAATATTCTGCTCTGTAAATGCAGCTTTATACGCTTCTTTAAAGGCAGAGAGGAACTCAAGCTTTGTGATATGGTGAATACGGAGTAATACGAGACCCTCGACCTGCTTTCTGTACGAGGACTTTAGTGGGCTAAAACACCCAACATTAAGAGGCTGGAGGAGGTTTGATGAATGTGGTGGCATACAGAGGGTAATAATTAGGTGCTCTTGACAATACTGTTGGAATTCGACTGAAATATGTGACTCGTGGCCATCAAGAATTAGGAGATGATATACTCCTTTCGTACGACTCTGAGTATGTTTCTCAAAATGCTGAATCCACTCAAAACCAATTGCATTTGTAGTCCACCCGTTTTCACTTAATGTAATCACCCAATCGCGTGGGAGTTGTACCTCGTCGTTGTTATACCATGACGAGAGGTGGGTTGCTCCTTTGAAAATAATGAATGGAGGAATTGACCACCCGTACGAGTTGATTCCTTGTATAATTGACACCCATTCTCGATTTCCTGGCTGTGTAGCTTTCAGACGATTCCTTGACTCTGAGCTAGTGACTACTTTAGCAGTAGCAATCATTCCCATTAAGAACCCAGCTTCATCAAAGTTGTATATATCCTCCTCTTGAATTCCATACTTTGCGACCGTATTTCGTACGAGCTTAAACCAGTCTCTGATAATCACTGGATCTTCACAAAGAGCTCTTTTATAGTCGTATTTTCGTCCAAACTTCGTTTTAATCTCCGTACGACGCGTGATAAAGTTCGAGGTCCAATTCTTACCTACAGGTGACGCGTCGCGTTCAGCGAGGAGTAGGTCCGCCATTTCTTGTACAGCAGCTGGCCGAGGTGGGAATCCACGCGAATCAAGGTCGAGAATGTATCATACGATAGCTTCCTCTTCTTGAGAAGTAAGCCTTTGAGTATTTGAGGGTGTGTTGCATCGGGGAGCTGTTCCTTTTATCCTATCACGAAGGGTTTGAGGAGGTATATCATATGCTATTGCAGCAGCTCGTACGCTTCGAAATTGATATAATTTAATTGCTTGTATAGCTAAAAGAATCCTACCTTCTTGATTAGAAGAATAAGCTTGTGTTGGAGACATATTAGTTGTATGGAAGGAAGACGCGTTTTGGTGGTTATTTTGCACGGTTCGACCGGGTGCACGGTTCGATTGGGAAATACGTTATATGAGATATTCAATAATTATCGTCGCCTGAATATTTTTAATCGAACCCGAAGATGTGCGTCGTGAGTAATCTGCTACATCAAGGGCAGCATCACTCCACGCCGAGACGCCAGGTTGGCTACTTTGGGGGTAGAAAAGATGACGAGTTCGTCATTTTCGTGCGAGCTTCAGAGATAGCCTGTACTAGCAAATATGCTGAGTAATAACGCAATATGTGCCGCTTCTCTATAAACACGGCCTCTCGGATATGTGTATACAGTCTCTACTATGCACTGAACAGCCAGTGCATCTATGATAGGGTGGAGGTAATGGATGTTGTTCATGTAGTATTTGAGCAAGCTAAGAGCTTCGGCTTTGGTTGGCAGCCAGATAGTGGCCAGAGAGGTTTAGAAAGATACTAATATAAACAGACATTGCTGCTTGTCATCGCGAGGTGTCTGGAGAGTATGCCGTGCCACAGGTTGGCAGGTAACACCACGGGCGGAACAGTTGGAACAAGGTTGCCGCCGGTCACATTTGAGCTTCTTTGACCGACAGAACTGACGTGACACAGGGTCCTGCCGCGGACAGCGGGTCGCCTATTAGACTTGGGTTGGTCCATCAGAGTCTATAATGTCGCGGTGTTGGCCGCCTCACATCGGTAAGTACGAACTCATCAGTCACGAGAAAAACATAAAGGCATAGATTAACAAGCCCAAATAGGATATCTTGGGGCAAAATGTCAGACAGTATATAGCCAGTATGGGTATCATACACATACCCGATAGACAGTTACAGGTACACCGGTTGCAGAAGGGCCACAAAGGGTGCTTTGGAGCAATTCGTGGTGATAGTCACGTGCGTCAGCCCTGATCTTCCCTCTGTTGGATACGTAGGACTGCCATATATGCCGGGCGTAGGGCAGACTGGTGCCAGGCAAAGCTAGGCGTAGGATCACCACCAGCCTCGTAGAAACCGGGCGTAGGATTCGCACCAGCTTCATAGAAGCTGGGCGTAAGGATCAGCGCCAGCTCTGAAGCTAGGCGTAGCTTATTTAATTAATTCAATTGTCCTATATACTCTACGATCACGACTATGTTACCTGTGGAAGCCCTCATTCCGACTGTCTACTCTGTGCATTCCAAAGCGATACTTCTGCTCAGTTGGGGAAACCTAGGCTGCGCACTGGGTACTCATGAGTCGAGTAGTAGAATTTCTACTCACCCAGCTGAGTTACTCACTCATATCCCGAGTATTGTTGAATGAGGATTACTCACTTGCCGGGTACCTAGTATAGGTCTTGGCAACCCAGTTATATCACGTGTTTGATTAGTCATTGAAAAGGGGTGTGATCGTGACTTCACATTGATATCGATATCGTAAAACGCCATAACTCAATAACTCCATTCCCATGTCGTTGATATCCTATTCCACACTATAACCTTTGCCTTTAGGTACCAGGTTACCAGAAGGTTGCCAGAACTTATCTAACCTTCATTCCTGGGTGAGAGACATTTCCATCGATTAAGCCTACAGCTCCATGATTAAACATCATATCCCGCAAACGCCGAACCAATACCATATCCTTTGCCTGAATTGTCACTCTCTTCGCATGAATAGCAAGGAGATTTGTCACTATAACTGTTAGTATGTCCCTGTCACTATGTTCAAGTATCATACTCTCAAATTCTCGAATGAGGAAGCATTCGGCAGCTTCCTGGAGAGCTAGGATAGCAGATTGCTGGAAGCGAAGATTGGACTTGAAGTCTTGTGCGATTTCCCTAACAAGACGCTGGAATGAGAGCTTTGGAATAATCAGGCGAGTATCAAGTTGCTGTCTTCTGATATCGCGGAGAGCCTTGGTGCCTATATGTTTATTAGAGAGTTCTGGTAATCCTCTGGTAATCCTCTTACCTTTCTGAGCATGATTGTTGCAAGCTTGAGATGAGCGAACTGGAGCTTTTCTTGCTGTGCGCACAGCCTTTTCCTTTCCCTTTCCCTTTCCACCAAGCCTAGAGCCAGCCTGTAATCCAAGTGGCATCCTTGGTGCTGTGCCGCCAGTTGATCTCCTAGCAGTTTGCTTAATACGAGCCATTTGCTAACATTAAGATGAGTTAGTGAAGTATACACAAGACAAAGAAGTAGATCAAAAGATATATGTACTTACAGTGAGTTTGTAGCAAGGATGTTGTAGAAAGAGTAAAGAAAGAGGTAGAGGTTGAAAGGTATGTGTTTTATTTGAAGGTACGCGTTGTAGTGTTGTTTAGAACAGTAATTATTTGCAGGTGAATATTCCTTGACGAATATAATTGTTTGCAACTTTAAAAAAACAACAACCTTACAACCAACCACCTTCCTTGGTTACGTTCCGATCTACACATTCTTCTTCTCTTTTGCGCTTTACCTCTTCACTAGGACCTCAAGTAAGTTTATTATCTTGATTCTACAGTCAGAACTTCTGATGATCTTCTGCTAATCACGTGTTTAGCATGGCGAAACGCAAGGCACCTGAAGAACTCTCCACTAATTTGAATACTATCAAAGCTCGCAACCGCGTCTCCAACCTTACTGAAGATGAGAAGGCTGTTCATTTAGCACTCAAGGCTGACCATGGCGATCTGAGCTACTACTTAAAGAAGTTATACAAGTCTGCAAAGTATATCGCTGCCTCTGCTGAAGACAAGACACGTCTACAGAATGAATTGAAGGTTGAGCGTATTCGTGTTCGGTAAGTTCCTTCTGGTAATCTCTGGTAGCCTTAATCTAACTATAAACAGGACTGAAAAGGGCACCCATGCATCTTGCATTGCGAATCAGAAAGTCAAGAATACTAGCGCCCCTTCTTCTTCTCCACAAGCCCCACCATCTACTCCGCCACAACTTCTGTCTGAGCTTGCTGCATTTGAGGGTATCACCAGTATCCCAATCGATGACGATCATAACAGCGAATGGGAGGATACTGAGGTTGAAGACGATTTAGAGTTGGAGCTTATGTTACGGCGCGACGATATTTTAAATGACGAGGCTGTTCTACCAGATGAGCTTTCTGATGAAGAGATCGCTAGCATCCAGGCTCTCTTAACTCAAGCACGCATTGATGTTGGTACCTCATAGTCTGGTAATCTTCTGGTAATCTTCTGGTAATACTAACGGTTGATAGGCCCATGAAGAGGCCAATTTCCGCAAGTGGCAACATTTCTGGGATAGCTGTATCCGCTCATATACGAGAAAGGCTGGAAAGCTGAGAAAGAAGCCTGAGCATCTCTTTGAATATATGCCATGGATTGATGTAGAAGAAGGGTACGTCTCTGATCATTCTAGCAATCTTCTAGAGATACTAATTGTTTATTATAGCACTTTTCACAACGTTATCCCACCACATAAATATTTCTGTTTGTACGAGCAGGCAGTTTGGAAAGTGGGCCAATTACCAGGACCTGCGCAGTGGTACCCAAAGTCTTACAATCTTGTCGACAACGGATGGTTACAAGTCTCCACTCATAGTTCTAGCTTCAAAGAGGCGTTCTTACTTGTCTACTCTAAGAAATTTGATAAGGAAAAGTGGGCTAAGGTATCAGCTGCACAGGATATGTTGTTTCTGGAGTTAGAGTAGAGGAGAGAAATGGAGTATTTGATTTTCCGACGCGAATAGGGCTATAGAGATTTAAGTATTTCATCGTAGCCAGACTTCTGGTAATCTTCTGATAATCAAACAATTTGCTACTTGCCAAATGTCATCGCAATATTCAGAGTTGTTTGACTCTGACAATCCTATTTCTAATATATTCTCAGACTCTCT